GAGATACGGAGACATGAGTCAGCATTTGGTGCTGTTACTCAACTTGTAGCTGTCCTACGTTTAGGAGGAAGAGCTGCAAGGTATAGGGCAGCAAAAGCTTTGGAAAGTTTATTCTCTGCTGACCATATTAGAAATGCAGATAGTGCTCGACAAGCTGTTCAACCGTTGGTGGAGATTCTTAACACTGGTTTAGAGAGAGAGCAGCATGCTGCAATTGCTGCATTAGTTAGGTTACTGAGTGAAAACCCTTCAAGAGCACTCGCTGTTGCAGATGTTGAGATGAATGCAGTGGATGTTCTTTGCAGGATTCTTTCATCAGATTGTTCAATGGACCTCAAAGGGGATGCTGCTGAATTATGTTCTGTTCTTTTTGGAAATACAAGAATTCGGTCCACAATGGCTGCTGCACACTGTGTTGAACCTCTGGTGTCTCTTCTTGTAAGTGAGTTTAGTCCTGCTCAGCATTCAGTTGTCCGGGCATTGGATAGGCTTGTTGACGATGAACAACTGGCTGAATTAGTTGCTGCACATGGTGCAGTTATTCCTCTTGTTGGCCTACTATATGGTAGGAACTATGTACTTCATGAGGCCATTTCCAGAGCTCTGGTCAAGTTAGGTAAAGACAGGCCAGGTTGTAAAATGGAAATGGTGAGAGCTGGAGTTATTGAAAGCATACTTGATATCCTTCATGAAGCACCTGATTATCTATGTGCAGCTTTTGCAGAATTGCTACGTATATTGACCAATAATGCTAGCATAGCTAAAGGACCATCAGCTGCTAAAGTAGTTGAACCTCTTTTTTTGTTGTTGACAAGACAAGAATTTGGGCCTGATGGACAACATAGTGCATTGCAGGTTTTGGTTAATATCTTAGAACATCCACAGTGTCGAGCTGATTACACATTGACTACTCACCAAGTTATTGAGCCTCTTATCCCCTTGCTTGATTCTCCTATATCAGCAGTGCAACAATTAGCTGCTGAGCTTCTCTCACATCTACTTTTAGAAGAACACCTTCAGAAGGATCCAGTGACACAGCAGGTAATTGGTCCTCTTATACGAGTTCTTGGTTCTGGTATACATATATTGCAGCAGAGAGCTGTAAAGGCCCTGGTCAGTATTGCACTGATATGGCCAAATGAAATTGCAAAAGAGGGTGGTGTTATTGAAATTTCAAAAGTTATATTGCAAGCTGATCCATCCATTCCTCATGCTTTATGGGAGTCAGCTGCCTCTGTTTTGGCAAGTATTCTGCAATTTAGTTCTGAATTCTACCTGGAAGTTCCTGTTGCTGTTTTGGTAAGGCTGCTTCGATCTGGATTAGAAAGCACAGTTGTTGGTGCATTAAATGCTCTTCTTGTGTTGGAAAGTGATGATGGAACAAGTGCAGAAGCAATGGCCGAAAGTGGTGCTATAGAGGCTCTCTTGGAGCTCCTAAGATCTCATCAGTGTGAGGAAACTGCTGCAAGACTCTTAGAAGCACTGCTGAACAATGTAAAGATCAGAGAAACAAAAGTTACTAAATCAGCCATCTTACCCTTGTCCCAGTATCTCTTGGACCCACAAACCCAAGCACAGCAAGCAAGGTTGTTAGCAACTTTGGCTCTTGGTGATCTATTCCAGAATGAGGGTCTTGCTCGGACAAGTGATGCAGTTTCAGCTTGCCGTGCTTTAGTAAATGTGCTTGAAGAGCAACCAACTGAAGAAATGAAAGTTGTCGCCATATGTGCTCTGCAAAATCTTGTGATGTATAGTCGATCAAATAAAAGAGCAGTTGCAGAGGCGGGTGGTGTTCAGGTTGTACTGGATCTGATAGGTTCAAGTGATCCTGAAACATCCGTTCAAGCTGCAATGTTTATCAAACTACTATTTTCAAATCATACAATTCAAGAGTATGCTTCTAGTGAAACAGTGAGAGCAATAACTGGTGAGTTATCTGCCTATTATGCAGTGTACACTTGTTATTTATATTCTGGACCACTACTTTATATTTTATACTCATTTTTCCTCATATAGAATGGTGTCTTTGTTATTTTTCATGTGGCCATTTCTGATTCAGGTTTTAAAATCCTTGCATTTGCATCTACTTGTAAATGCTTCTCTTTACTTTTATAAGCTGAGGTTTCAAAATATTTGTCAATGAAAAAAACCAAACAGGTTACATGTGAAGTAAACAAATCTTTTGGAAAAATAGCAGAGCTGATTTTTGGTTGCTGATGACTGGTCATGGAACTAAAAATTTGGGAAGGAACAAATGAATTGTAAAACTTGTGGCTTGTACAGTTCGCTTAATGGCTTCATAGTTTGAACAGCTTGATTTTTTTATTTATACTATATAACCTCTTCTAACTAAAATAGACACCTAGTCTTCTGTTAAATATTCATTAATGTAAATGAAGAGTAAAGGTTGAACTTGCAGATGAAGGTGCTGTTTTTAATCTGAATTGATTGGTGAGCAATGGTAGCAAGAATAACCTCCTCTCTCTCTCTCTCCACTATGTAAACTTGGCCTAACAATTTTTTAAATTGTTTTTTAGCTGCTATTGAGAAGGACTTATGGGCTACTGGAACTGTGAACGATGAGTATCTTAAAGCTTTAAATTCTCTATTTAGCAACTTCCCTCGACTGAGGGCAACTGAACCAGCAACACTTAGCATTCCCCATCTGGTTGCATCCTTAAAGACAGGCTCAGAGGCTACTCAGGAAGCTGCTTTGGATGCTCTTTTCCTGCTGAGGCAAGCTTGGTCAGCATGCCCAGCAGAAGTTTCAAGAGCTCAGTCCATAGCAGCTGCAGATGCTATTCCTTTGCTGCAGTATTTAATCCAGTCTGGCCCACCTCGCTTTCAGGAGAAGGCAGAATTTTTATTGCAGTGTTTGCCTGGAACGTTGGTGGTGATCATCAAGCGTGGTAACAATATGAAGCAGTCTGTTGGAAACCCAAGTGTTTATTGTAAGCTTACACTTGGAAACACTCCTGCAAGGCAAACCAAGGTACTTTTAATAATAAGAATTTCATATTTATTATCTTGTGACCTCCTTTAATGAACTAGGATTGGATGACATGTTTGTTTTATGTGAGAATAATGTTATCTGTCATGGCCCAATGGAAATCATGCTATTATGTCAATGGGCATTTCTTTAATTGTGCATTTTAATGACAATATGAGAAATCTAGTTGTGCTATATGAGCAATTATGCCAATATCAGAATATGCTAATTATCATGAGAATGTGCTGCTCTCAGGTTGTCTCAACTGGCCCTAATCCGGAGTGGGATGAGAGCTTTACATGGTCCTTTGAGAGTCCTCCAAAAGGCCAGAAACTACACATTTCTTGCAAAAATAAGAGCAAAATGGGAAAGGTAATTGTGGGAAAATTGGACCTCTAAATGCAGTATGAATATCTTCAAGCATTTTGCGTTTACACTTCCACTTGACCCCTCTATTTTTTATCTGATGACAGAGCTCATTTGGCAAAGTGACAATCCAGATTGATCGGGTGGTAATGCTTGGAGCGGTGTCTGGGGAGTACACTCTGTTGCCGGAAAGTAAAAATGGTCCCTCAAGAAACTTAGAAATAGAATTTCAATGGTCTAACAAGTGAGATACCCGTTTACGTCTTTAGTGTCGAGCGTTAAAATTGGAACACGCAGGGTACATGGTTGAAGAGCATTTTTTGTTTAAATTTTGTATTATTTATCATGCTAGTGTATATAGCCAGCAGTTATTTGCCTTTCGGTCTGTAGTCCCAAACAAATTCATTTGTCATAATATTCTTTTGTAACTTTATCCTTCATTTCCTAGGTGAAATACTAGGGGGTACGATCAGGCCCGCTTCGAGTTTCTTGTATGATTTTTGCTTGCTGTCAATTTAAGGTGGGCCTGCTTTATGCTTCTGGCGTTGTACAACTTTAAGTCTCCTGTATTTTAGAGTAAATTGAAATATAAAATAACAATAATATAGTGTCATATATTAACCAAACCTCCCTCTCTCCGGCCCCCCCCAAAAAAAAAGAACTAGTCATAGTGAATTTTCAAATGGATTTAATTTTGACATTTGTGGTTGTGTTTTTTTATTTATTAACTAAATTATGATGTTAGTTAATTGAAATCAAACTTGTGTTTTTAACTAAACTTCATTATATCTAAGTCATCGATTTTCCATACCAAGTAGCGAGCTCGAATTAAGCAAAATAATGGACAAGGCGAGGAGTGGAGATATTAGTAGAATAGTTAAAATTACTTACATTGATAAAGTCTTCACAAAGAAAATTAAGTTTTAATACATTTATAGGAAAATTAATAAAATTTGTTTTTATTATTTTTAATTTAGCTTTCCATTTTTGCATATTGTGTATGGTTTGTGCTGTCATAAATTTCTATTATAAGAGCATTAGATTTTTTTAAAATATGAACTAAGACTTGATTATTTCCTATACTACAAGTTGGTCAAGTATTTTCTTCTGATACCACAAGTATTTTCTTAAACTTCTATGACCTCATGAGCAAGTTACTGTGTTATACTATTCGTGTAATTAAATGTCATGAAATCAATTCAACAATAAGGAAACATTTTTATTATAATGACATTATCCATTAAACTACAAAATTTTCACTTCTAAGGAGCTAAATTCATAGTTACGTTGTTTCTGTTGTTTTCTTCATTAGTTTTAGAAGTTATTTCCTTAAAATAATTGATTTTGGTCGTCAACATTTTGGCTTATTTGATTGTTTTTTATTTCGTAAAAAGAAAGGAATGAAATTAAATGCGGGGAGCCCACAGTGGCAAAGACACATCGACACCGGCCATAAAGCCCGTTTTATTCTGAAACACGTAAAGACAGGGGGGGGCCCCACCACGCGTGACGTTTCCCTTCGTCGTGGTACTGTTGCCCTCTCACTCCTCCTAATCATCATTTCCATTTATTATAAACACTAATCATATCACACCAAACCACTTTCCCCTTCTTTTTCCATCAATTTAAGTACTACTTAACAGTTAATTCCACTAATCCACTCACAGTTACTTGTTACAGCCACACACACAGCACAGTGATGATTCATAACGATGCACACTGCGCACCCTTACTCCCCTCTTTTCTTCGATCCTCCTCCCACTCCCTTCTTTCCATCGTGAAAACCTCTTAATCGCTCCCTTTATTTAAGTAATTAACACTAATCGTCACTCAATTAGTTACTTGTAGAACGAAGCATCGGAAGAAGTGCCAGATCTCGATCTCGATGCTGTTGCTGTTCCTTTTGTTGTTCTTGTTTGAGCCAACGGCTCACTCAATGCCTTTTCCGATCACATTTTCTGCGAGGCTCATTCATCGCTTCTCCGAACAAATGAAACCGGTCGGGCTTCCCACCGGTTCGTGGCCGGACCGGCGGAGCATGCCCTACTACCAGATGCTTCTCAGTAGTGACATTCTCAGGCGCAAGGTCAACAATGGAGGCGCTCGCTACCAGCTCCTGTTCCCTTCTCATGGCAGCAAAACGATGTCGCTCGGCAACGACTTTGGCTGGTAATATTTAATTTCTCTCTCTCTCTCTCTCTCTTGTTTTTCTCATCGCGTGAAACGACGTGGTTTTGAATCTGATTCTTGCTTGTTGCAAATTGCGATGCATCTGTCTCTGGTGATTAGGTTGCATTACACGTGGATTGATATAGGGACACCGAGTACTTCGTTTTTGGTAGCGTTGGATGCAGGGAGCGATCTCCTTTGGCTTCCCTGTGATTGCATACAGTGTGCTCCGTTGTCGTCGAGTTACTATTCCAATCTGGTATGCTTCGATTTCTATCTTTGGTTTGATTCGAATGATTCCCTTTTCTATGGAACTTGTGACATTAATAGTTAATACTTTAATTGGGCCAAGTTTGAGTAAGCATCTAGCTAAGTATGCATAAATAAAGAAAATTAATATGAAAAAATAATAAAACTTCTCTTATAAATTAAACATTATTTATTTTTCTCAAATTTATAGGTGTTAAACCAAAGAGCTGCCAAAAAAAAAATAAAAATTACAAGTTAATTTTAATTTACGGGGGGAGTTTGATTTATTTTATTATTTGATTTATATATATATATATATATATATATTTATTTATTTATTTATTTATTTATTTATTGATAGTTTAAAAAGTAGCTAATCATGTGAATTGTAAACCCCGGATTGAATTTTCTTTCAATTGGAGTGTAATGTTACGCTTAGACATGACATGGCACCTTTTTTTTGTTTGGTTCAATGAGGTTTTAGAGTCTATGTAAGCTAAAGAATTGGTAACAGGTTTAGCACTTATTTCCAATAATTGATTGGCAGGTGCTCCCTCATATATGGGGCATCTATTATGCAGGATAGAGATCTGAATGAGTATAGTCCATCTCGTTCGTTATCCAGTAAGCATCTATCTTGCGGTCATCGGTTGTGTGATATGGGTTCAAATTGTAAAAGTTCTGAGCAGCAGTGTCCATACATGGTCAGTTACTTATCAGAGAATACATCGAGTTCTGGATTGTTAGTTGAGGACATACTGCATCTTCAGTCTGGTGGCGGTGTAGCAAACTCCTCTGTTCAGGCTTCAGTAGTTCTTGGGTGTGACTGACTGCCCTGTCCTTGTCACTTCAACATCATTTTGCCTGATGATGTTCTTTCTTCCAGAAAACACTCGTTTCCCGGTTTTTCCTCTAACGTCAGTTTTGTTGAATGCAGGTGTGGCATGAAGCAAAGTGGTGGTTATTTGGATGGGGTTGCTCCAGATGGTCTAATAGGTTTGGGGCCCGGGGAGAGTTCAGTTCCAAGCCTTCTTGCTAAATCAGGATTAATTCATGATTCTTTTTCCTTGTGCTTTGACGAAGATGATTCTGGTAGAATTTTTTTTGGGGACCAGGGACCAACCACTCAACAGTCTACTTCATTCTTGCCTTTGGATGGAATATAGTATGAAATTCTGTACTTTAAATTAGTTTACAATATTCAACTGCGCCAAATTAGTTTTTAGAAGATGGTGTCATGCTAATTATGATATATTTCCTGGTCAGTTCAACCTATGTTATTGGAGTGGAGACATGTTGTATTGGGAATTCTTGCCTTAAAATGACAAGTTTTAAAGCACAGGTTGATAGCGGGACATCATTTACATTTCTTCCTGGCCATGCGTATGGAACACTAGCCGAGGAGGTACTTTAGTTTTTTGAATTCTATGATTGTAAATTTATTTTCAGTCCTTTAATATGATTTTATTGGTGTTAGTTTGATCAACAAGTAAATGCTTCAAGATCTAGCTTTGAAGGATCTCCTTGGGAGTATTGTTATGTGTCCAGGTAAAATTTCTTTATAGATTTATCCTCCTCTCGTGTCTCTTCGGTGCTTGATTTCCTAATTGCTGGAATTTTCTTGTCTTTTTGATGACTTTGATTATTTTTTTAAAAACAGTTCGCAAGAGTTGCCAAAGGTTCCCATCTTAACTATCATGTTCCAACAGAATAACAGTTTTGTGGTCGTTGATCCTGTGTTTGTATTCTATGGCAATCAGGTGGGGCTGGATTGAATTTTGACAGGATAATTAACTGTGTTATAACCTATAAGAGGCTTCTTTATAGTAATAATTTTAAATCTTCCTACAACATTTTCTTGCTAATTCTCCTACTTATTGAATAAATAGTTATTTAGTGCTTTTTATGTTTTCAAAAACTAGAATGCCTTTATTTTTTTATTTATTACTTTCTTTATAAAATTTAGGAGGATTAATATACGAGTATTATTGGAGGTTATACCATTATTCTTATTGTAAATAATAACTTATTATTTGAAGCAACATCAGTTGAGAAGTGCTGCCCGTTCATGTAACCCATGAGATATAAGTGCGAACTGTTTGACATATTAATAGAAATTGTTGTCTGAAAAAAAAAAGGTTTTTAGCAAAATTTGTTTTAGAAAGAAGGGAAATAAAAAAAAAAATGTTAATTTCTCCTATAACAGATGTAGCTAAATTATGAAGACTGATCCATTTTGTGTAGGGAGTTATTGGATTTTGTTTAGCCATACAGCCAGCCGAAGGGGATATGGGAACAATTGGACGTAAGTTTACTTGAATATTTTCACTGTCAAAGTCTACTTTACTCCGGAGTATGATATAAAAGGATACTTTTATCTTAAAACTAATATATATATATATATATATTATTTTTTTTGCAGAGAACTTCATGACAGGATATCGTTTGGTATTTGATAGGGAAAACAAGAAGCTGGCATGGTCACCCTCAAATTGTGAGTCATTTTGCACCCATAGTTTAAAGCATGCTGATTAAGCGCAAAATTATATATTTTAGCTTTAGTTCTAATCAATCTGCTTAGGCAATGAAGCCGACTTGTTGGTCGTCCTTGCCATTTGCTGATACCTGACGGAAAGGAATTTTTCTACCCTTCACGTCCCCTCTCCCTTTCCATTTCTTTCGCTTATACTCCGTCTACGTGCATCTGTAGGTCAGGATCTGAGTCTAGGTAAGAGGATGCCCCTTTCTCCAAATGAGACATCATCAAACCCATTGCCTACAGATGAGCAGCAAAGAACCAATGGGCATGCAGTTGCTCCAGCTGTTGCTGGAAGAGCTCCCCACAAACCTTCGGCTGCTTCATCTCGGATGATTACATGCCGGAAACATTGGCACTGCTTTTTGTTTCTTCTATTACAACTCGTGTCACCCTTTTATTGATACCCTCGCATTCTTATGTATGTCGAGTACCCAGCTTGTCTAGATAGTGTTACATGTATATCCAAATATGTATCCTTTTTGGCCTCCTAGCTCTGTAAGTATTTTAGATCATACACCTTCCAATGCTGTTATTTTTTCACCTTGCCAGCATGTTAGCTTATTCCTAGCACTCGTAATGTAAATTAATTTGCTGTGTCATCCTATTTTATTTTCTTTTAATTTTAATTAGAATTTTCAGTGAATTTTTTTAATGTTTTTTTTAATTATTATTTTATTTGGAATTCCGGTGGTGTATGTGAAATATCTTGTTAAGGCAACATTTTAATTTTTCAATATTTATTTGTGAAAAATCTGAATACTGTATATTTAAAGAGCGTAAGTTTTTGTATCTTCAATTTAGAACGCATACTCATCATATAACACTAAAATTAGTTCTAAATAAATTTCGACTTGAAATTTCGAACAACCAATATCCTTGCAAGTTGTGATAATTCAAATGAAAGTGTCCGGGGTTCGAATCTCCCAAAATAAAATAATAGTCAATAGTTTCTTGTAAGAACCGTGTACTTGTGTGTTTGACATCATAAGTTAATCTTTTATCGTGTAGTACATGAACACCACAGATTGATAACTAAAACTTCTTTTAATTAATTAGTTTTTTAAACTTTGAGATTTTGTTAAAGAAAATATTCCTGAAAGCGATATCAAACATATACTTAATTACGTTGATTTTGTAGTTACTGATTTGACGAACTCTGTTAAATATTGCATGCTACTATGCATGTGAGCTAGCTGGAATGGACATCTATTCATTATTCTTAGCTCCCAACAAAAGAATTAATTGGACAGCTGGTTCACAAAATAAAATAAATCCCTTGAACCAGCTTGAACGCGTTGCGCGATGTGAACTATGACCTGAAAGCAGAGGGTTCCAGCTTACACATGTTACGTTACATGTATGATGTTTGCTTGTATTATTCCACCGTCCTTCACCGATTATGTTGCTGCCTAGGTCTTTCTCTGTGACTTTCAAGGAGTAAGTATGACAATAAAAAATGTAACCGGATCGTAAAATAAAGGATGTAAATTAGGGTTTTTAAAATACTGGTTAAAATATAAAAAGCAAAAAAATTTATAGAAAAAAATGTTACAATACATTCTATTGTAATATTTAAGACAATCTTGTCATAATTTTTAATAAAAAAATTTGTATTAATTTTCTAAAAATTGTCTTTAAGATATTGTTAGCGTAATCCTAAAATAAATTAATAATGAGATGACAAAAGACTTGAGTAAGATTTTTTAAAGTACAAATTAATATATACAGTAACACTATAGAACTATGCTAAACAATAAGAAACATTTTGCCAGTTCAAAGTTTTAATTTTCTTTTATTGAAATGTGATTTTTTATAGACAGACATATTCCTCAATTGACAGTTAAGGTTAATTCTTTTCAGGCTAAAAATTATTAAATACTTAGAGAAAACTGTCGTGATACGTGAATGTCACTGTCAAGTTTATGTACATATCTTTATGATTTATTGAAATTACAGAATATTCATCTCTCTTCTTGCGAGTCCAAATTCTATGACAGGAATAAAACGATTACGAAATTATTTTCGTTCTGTCGACTAAAATTATATATACTGTTTGTTAATTATTTAACGCTAGGGAATAAAACAGAAGATGTGCCCTCAACTCCTGATGGAGATTGGTACTTTGGACCAAACAACACGTTGGCTCTGCTCCTACCAACTTCTGAGCATATCTGTTCACACATCTTTCACGGTATTCTTTTCTTCTTATTGTATGCAATATGTCGATATATTAATAAATATGTCTAAACACAATGAGGAGAAACTGTAGCCCAGTTGGAGGGCGAGTCTTAATGGATATACATTTTCCTATTTAATGAATAAAATAAATTCAACTATTCTTGTAAGTTAAAATTAATTTATAATTTTGAATTTTTGTAAAAGATTTTTTATTTAAATTTTTTATATATTTTTCTTTTTAAAAACTTGTCCAAAAGATTCACCCAAACTAGCACAACTGTTTAATATCTTAGTTAATTGGTAGAGTTTTAAAAATATCTGATGACAATGTGAGTGAGTTCAAACACTAAACTATCCTGTTAAGAATGTCTATTAAGACTCGCCTCAATATTTGGTCCTCCGTTATACGTAGAAGAGGTGTGACGACTTTTATTGCAACTTCCGTCCCCATTTCCTAATTAAAGTTGTTCCTTTCACCGTAAACAAAGAGAATCTAGAATCCAAAAGCAAGAGAAAGCATATAAAGATATCAATGAGACGCTTTTCTGTCCAATTTGAAGTTTAAAAAGGGATGAACTGCATAAAAACAGAAATCCCATTTGGCATGTGTTTCCGCAGCAACTTTCTAAAACAAACACGAGCAATTAATTGCTAATTCCTAACTTATAAATTGAAGTTTTACTTTAGTATTATATTATAAGTTTAATTTTGATGTATAAATAACAAAAGTTTTATACTTCTCCCCATAAAGCTAACATTTCAACTTCTATTTCTAACATATTTCTTAAAGGTTGCCAAAACAGTTTACGATTGATTGAATGACAGTATACAAAAATTTTATATTATCAACGTATTTTAATTAAATGTGTGTATTATTCATGCAATATATATTTTTATAATACTTTTAGCATTAATTATTTCTTATCTTTCTCAATAATATTAATCATTTTATTTCATATTTTATCTTTGTATTATGTATTTTGTTGTACAAAGAAATTGAATAAATGTAATCCTAGTTACACGTCTCACATGTGTACTACACTTTTTTTCCGTCTTATTTTCAGTGTAAAATGTAAATATAATACGACATGATCCTGTGATTAAACTTTGTGTTCTCTTTGAGCTCGAGGTAAATTAATACAATGCATGTCCATGATCTCAACTAAAAGCTTCCAAACCAGGGAACGTCAACGTTGTACAGATATATTGGATAGAATGCTTCTAAATCAACCTCCAATTGATTTTGTTATATACATCCAGGACGTTAAAGGTTAAATATATTATGGGGTGGTATCGTGATGCATGCTTCTCTTTTCTGTTCTCATCCACTTTTTGCTGCATTTGTCTACTTTTTACCTTTTTCTTTTTACTCTACTTTTGTTTTCCAAAAGTGACTCAGAGCTTTCTGTAGTTTAGCTGTTGATTGCAAAAAGATTATGCAGTGGGTTACTTAAATTATTCAAATTGCTTCTTTGGCACCCTTTAAGAAATATCTTAGAAATAGAAGTTGAAATGTTAGCTTTATGGGGAGAAGTATAATTGAGGAATCAAATATCCCAAATTCAAACAAGATGAGAAAAGAAACTTAAAAGAGGAGATTAAAAAAGTAGGGCTCGGGAAAAGGGAAAAAACGGTCATTAGATCAAGTAGCTTGGGATTTGGATGATGACTAATGAAGCATTTCTCTTATAAGATTCATGAACAACGATTACCATTCATAATAAAAGTTTTTGTCACAAAGTAGTGATCACCCTCTTTTTCTAAACTTTTTTTTTATTATCATAATTGTCTATTTTTAAAAACTAATTACTTAAATAATATTTAAGAATCATTTACCAAAACAGGTGAATTAATCGATATCCGATTAGTGTTAGAAAAAATAATAAGTTTCAATAACTAAAATGTCAAAGACTGAAAATGTTGATGGTAACTAATAAAGCATGTAAGGAACCCTAGTTTTTAAATTCAAATTTACTTATTTTGTAAATAATTATTAAACAACATAATTCGAGTAATTAATTTTTAAAATTAAGTTATGGAGGTAAAAATCCATTTAGTGGTACACTGTTCACACAAACTTTTTTTGTTAATACAAGGCATAGATTTACGTATATTTTGTGTGAAGCTTATAGGCTATAATTTGAGGTCAATTTTAATGGAGGGTAAGAGGCTCATAGCCCTTGCAATATCAAGGGCCACGTTTCTTTCATCGATCGGTGCCAAATGCTTGCAGTTGCACCATTTCAAATTTAATTCCCGTCATTATCTGATACACATTCTGCTGTTTCGTTCGGACTTGGGAGGATGCATCTGCTTTCACTTTCGTCCTTAATAAATTATTGCCCTTCAATTTGAATTGAAGCCTCAATCAGAGAGTTTTCATTAGCTGTCACTTGATAGGTCAATTTCTTTTTTTAATATTATAACAAACAACTTTGTTAAATGTCAACTGAACCACAAGCATTACCATAAATTTTTACTATTTATTTACAAGCTCAAGATGATATAGGAACTGAGCGACGTTTTCCTTCTTTTCTACTTTCTTCAACCCAAGTAGAAAATTTCTCCACTAAGAAGTTAGAACCCATTTTAAGGTATCCAAAAGGCTCGTTTACTGGGCTAGGTGGGGGCCACTACCTTTTCATTAATTCATTAATTTGATTCAATTCAAGGCCTTTATATATAAGTAGGCATGTGTGTGGTAAAAAAATCACAAGGTAAGTAAAGAAGTTCTTAAGAGAGCAGCATTGCTTATAGATCATTACAAGGTAAGGTAGGAATCTTTTTCTGTTTTGCAAGAAAGTTCCTTGCAACTTCTTTTGGTTTTGGAGCTGTCACTCCCTTGTTCTCAATATAAATTCACTTCCTTCCTTGTTTTCATATTCATTAGTAAGTGATTTTTTCTCAAGTATAAACCATTTTACAGGTTCTGATCCTAAGTACACATAAATGGGTGTTGGAGGGTACTTGTCTGATCTAATGGGCAGTGGCTACCACCAGCAAAATAAGACCAAAAAGAAGCAATTACAAACCGTGGAGCTGAAGGTGAGGATGGATTGTGATGGCTGTGAGCTTAAGGTTAAGAAAGCTCTCTCTTCGTTAAATGGTAAGCGTCGTATATATAGTATTTCGGTTTGTCTAACTTTATAATATTACACGTAATAAGAACTTAGTATACAATATATTTTTATTAAAAATTACAACATGTATTAAAATTTGTAATTTTTAATAAAAAATATTATATATAAGATTTATGTGTAATACTGTAAACGTTAAAAAATTCTATAATATTTATATAGTATTGAACATTTTATAAGGTGATGGAATTAATAAAAATGGTGGTGAGAGTGTAGGAGTGAAATCGGTGGAGATAAACAGGAAACAGCAGAAAGTGACAGTAACTGGGTATGTGGAAGCAACCAAGGTTCTAAAGAAGGCCAAGTCCACAGGGAAAAAAGCTGAGATTTGGCCTTATGTGCCTTATAACATGATGACTCATCCTTATGTTGCTTCAGCTTATGACAAGAAGGCTCCTCCTGGACATGTGAGGAGAGTGGACAACTCTGCCACCATTGGAACTGTGACATCATTTGAAGATCCATACATCACCATGTTCAGTGATGAAAACCCAAATGCATGCTCTATCATGTAGACACTAGACATATTATGAGAAAAAAAAAAAGGTAGTATTTTTCGCACGGTACTGTACATTTTCAAGTTATATCTATAATAATTATATTTTTACGTTTACTTTTTGTATTACATTTATTTTTAATGTCCTTTTTTTACTATTATATATTTTTTTCGCTTCTTTCTATCCCTCTTGAAGATATAAGAATTCTTTTAAATATAGTTTTTTTTTCCCATTTTAAAGTACTTGTTTTCATATAGTGTGTACGTGCATTCAGGGGATGTGAGGAGACGTTATTGTGATTCTTTGTTTTGCTAAAATTTGCTTCAATGGTTCGGACTCCTGAACAGTACTAACAGAGTGAAGAGACGTTAGACATGAAGTGGGGTTGGTTGTTACTTGTTAGGAGGGCAACCTTTGAGTTCATGACTTCTGTTGTTTCGAAGTTATGAGTTGTGTGATGTTGTGGTTTTCTTTTCTATCAAGATTGTCCTTAGTTGCAGGGCTACAGGCAAACTGACCCCAGTGTATGACCCAAATACCTTTGTAGAGCATTGATTCAACAGTATATTTTCATCCAGATTATATTTGTCATTGGTATTATTGCAGCATCGTTTAACAAGATCTGCAAGGGTGTTAAAATATCAAGGAAAAAGGTGTTTAATAATAATTATGTCACAAATCCATTCACAAATCCATTCACAGTGAAGGGTTATTGTTTTAAGAAAAAAAATGATATTTTTTATCAGTCAAGGCATGATCTAGCAAGACCCAAGTCTTGTTAAAATGTTCCAGGTCGATTAAGAATAAAGATATATAGTAATCTTCCTTTCTTAAACTAACTTCTGAGAATGAATTAAACTAATTTTTTTAATAAACCGTAATCGCTATAGACAAATCCATATTCAACGCACTGATGCTAAGAAAATTGAAATTGTTGGAAGAAAATCAGATGGTTTACATGCCAAATTCATGTTTTAAATTCAATTTGGTGAGATTGAAATTTAAGGGACTATTTAGTTTCAGGAAATATTTTTTATTTTTATTCTATTTCTTGTTTTTAAATATTTGTGCAATAAAATAATGAAAATAACTTTTTTCTATTTATTTTCACTGTTTCTTACATAAATTTTAAAAAATTTAAAATAGAACAAAAATAAAGTATCTGTTTTATAATTTGTAACGTCTCCAATTTTGTAATATTAATTATTGTTATTTATATAAATTTAAATATACACACACACACATATATATATATATATATATATGTGTGTGTGTGTGTGTTGATTTACTTGATAATGATGTTTATGTGTATTAGGTATATAGATGTGTGTATGCATAACTGGATACGACTGAAATGAGTTAAGTACTTAAGTGCAGGGAGTAATTCTGAGTTGTTCTTGCTGCAGCGAGAGAATTCTAGCTGTAACGAGAGGGCTCTCAGAGGAAGGACTAGAACTGTCACCATATCGCTGTAGCGAGAAACATATCGCTATAGCGAGAGAGCGACAGTTTGGGGTGCATTCCTGGGTGTAGTCTCGCTGTAGCGAGATTCTGCAGAAACCAGTGCAGTTTCGTCTGATATTTTTGCTACAACGAGAGGGCGTGTCACTGCAGCAAGAATATCTCGTTGTAGCGAGAGTGTCGCGACCAGAAAAGGATTTAAAGGGGGTTAGGGTTCGGGGAGAGTTATTTCTCCCTCTCCCTTCGAAATCTCTTTGATCCTCTTCTTCACAAACCCTTTTCTACCGATTAAATTGCCTCCAAAGCTGTTCGTGAGCTTGATTGAGGGTTGAATCTGCATGGAAAACGCTTGAAGGTGAGTTTTAATGGTTGAGGTTCCGTTTCTCATCCCTTTTTCTCTATTTCGGGGTTTCTTGGATTCTCATGGAGTTCTTCCATGTGTTTTAGGCCAAAATCTGTGTAGGGAGCACGTGGTTGAATTCGAGTGTGGATCTTCAATCCAAGGTAAAGCGAGGACTCTACCCTATCTCAATGTATTATAATTCTTGTGTGTTTCGTTGATTGATGCAATGTGGCTGAGATAGGGAGTAGAATTTTCATGTTGAATGGAAATTGGTGTGCAATGTGATGTGTGCCATAATAATTAGGCCCCGTGAGGGTGATTGTGTGTGATGAAATGTCATTGATTGGTGAATTAATGATATTGTGAACAAATGTAGGCCTGAGGGCCGTGTAATATAAATGAGTATTGGCTACATGCTGTGTGATGTGAAATGAATGTGGGCTTAGTGCCGTGTATTTGAATGCAAATGTGGGCTGTGTGCCGTGTGTAAGCATGAATATTTCATGTGTGAATGAAATGTATGTGAATGGGGCGCGTAGCGCTGTTGTAATGTGCTGTGAATTATTCAGCGATACACTAAGGTGTGGAAGATGTGAACGATAGAAATACTTGGGGAAGGAGGAGTGGTGGTGACACTGACTGTGGAACAGGTGTACCACAGGTCACACACTCTCTTCCTTATTAGACCTTTGACCACTATCTTTGTTGAGCGACTCGTGACTGCCCACGTGGTATCCATAAGGCGGGGGTAACCGGCGATCATTCATGGTATAAATCTGTGATCACAGTGTCACAATGAGTGTTACTAGCGTGTGTATGCACGAGTTTATAAATTGTACTTATGGATGTGAAGTGCTGTCGATGTCGTGAGTACATCGGTGTTAAATGGACATATGAATTGTATTTGTTTAATGTATTGGAAATGTGTTGGAGGTGAGACTCTAGGTTGACTATGTGTTTTTGGGTAGTGTAGTGTAGTGTACTCACCCTTACATTCATTTTTCAGGTAATTAAGACGATTAGCACCAGAATCAGTAAAAAAGTGGATGAAACTGCTATAGGACTTAGGATATTATTTTAAAAATTGTTGTATTGAATAAGTCCTGTAGCAACTGTTTGATGAAATTTGTAACTCCTTTCTTTATTTAAAATGTTTGATGAAACTTGGATTAAAAATGAAAGTTTTATTATTTTAGAAATTTATAAAATTCTTTATTTATTAAAAATTAAATTTAAGGTGTTATATAATTAAAAGTAAAAAAAAATGTTTTAAAAAATTTAACTGTACTTAAGTTGTCCAAAATTAATACAACGATTCCAGTTTGCTGGCAGAATCAAAAACAGTATTTTTTACTAAAACCAAACCCATAGAAACATAAACTTGCATTTTGGAGAACAACAATATGTGGACATATTACCAATGTCGAATGAATTCGTGCAAAGAATGGCAAGTATCAATTATGAAGACGGCATAAGAGCCACGATTTAACAATTTTCACTGTTCAGTATGGCCCTTTTCATTTCATTTTTCTAAGCAAATAGAAACTCGCCCATTAAAGCCAAGAGCCAAGAGTTTCCAAGTTTTGTGTATTATCATATTTAGAAAGTTATGGAAGGATTAAATTGAGAAGTTATACAGTTTTCTTTTCTCTGTCTCTCTCAAATAAAAGTCATAAACTTTTATTCTCAGTAAAATTTCACATGTTTGGTTAAAATTTAAGGCAAATATTATACATTAAGGAAATGGAGATGATATATATATATATATATATATATATATATATATATATATGTTTGAAAAGCGATTAATGCTGTGATCTTTAATGTAATTTGATTTCTGGTAAAAATATTTCTTATTTATGTTACACTTCCAAACCATGCACCCTTTTCTTTTTGAATAAGCTATTCACAGTAAAAAAATTTGATCAAATGCACTCTAAAACATACAAATTGTACAATCTAAATAAACCACTCTATATCATTTTTGGAAATTTAATAAATAAAATAATTAAATTTATTATCGGTTGAAGTTTTAAACATAAAACTAATTTTATCATAACACAACTTACCCCAGATACTGCATAAGATGATAGAGATTTTGCAAGCGTTTATTTATTTTTTAATGTTGGTGTATGGGTCTAATGTCGGGCCACAGATATTGGGCCAGGCCCAATTAAACGCAATGACGAACGAACCCACCTAAAACCCAACGCTCGGTTCTCCACTAAGAACTATTCTTCGGTACTCCGTTGAACTCCTCCGGCGTCTCTCCCACTTCCGGCGAAGTTTCGTTCACCGGCGGAGTGATGGAGTCGGAATCTCCGAGATCCGAATCTGAAACGCACCCGCTCTCGAACGAAATGGATGACCTCTGCCACGACATGAGTTCCCTCCAAGACCTAGCGAACCGCGGTGCGTGGCGTTCAATCATCGACAAAGTCTCACGCGCCAGAGCCCTCTCTCTCCTCCAAAAGCCCCACGACCACCTCACCTACCTCGCCTTCAACGCCCTCGCTTTCACCAAACTGCGTCGTTTCAACGAAGCTTCTGCGGAACTTGATTCGCTCGAAGACCTCGATAGCTCTCACTACAGATACGAAACCTACCCGAAAATTTACCCTAATCGGGTCGGATCCATGGTCCCTTTTTCCCTCCGATGGCTCCATTCCCTAATTCCCATAAAATTGGGTCAACGACAGCAAGGGATCGATCGATTGTACATTCTCCTCGATTTTGTGCGCGAGAAGATGAAGGAGAAGGAGAAGAACAACCTTGGTGTTTCTCTTGGTGTGTGGAGAAAACGAGAGGTTTTTGTTATGAATTGTATAATTGGGCACCATTTGAGTCAAAAAGAGTTTGGTGTTTGTTTGAGTTTGATGAAGGAGCTTCTTTCTCGTGATTCTTCGGATCCTTTGTTGGTTTCGCAACTTGGGTATATGCAATTACAAATTGGTGACTTGGAGGGTGCGAAAGTTTCGTTTTTGAAAGTGGAGAATGAGGGGAAGAATAATGGGTCGTTGAGTGAGGTAGAGTTGAAGAACCTTGTGAATAGGAATAAGGCGTTGGTATATTTGGTTGGGAAGGATTATGTGTCTGCGGTGAGGGAGTATGAGGAGTGCATTGAGAGAGACCAAACGGATATAGTGGCTGTTAACAACAAGGCTCTTTGTTTGATGTATCTTAGGGACTTGTCTGATTCTATAAAGGTGTTGGAGAATGCCCTTGAAAGGGTTCCTACTGTGGCTCTCAATGAGACCCTTGTTGTCAATTTGTGTAGTATGTACGAATTGGCATATGTAAATCACTCTGATATTAAGAGAACGCTTAGTAGTTGGATTGCTCGTGTTGCCCCTGATGACTTTGATGCATCCTGTACTCGTACATGAGGTAGTTACTAGTTGCTTGCAAATTGGCATTCTTGTAATGTTTCTACGTTTTGTGTTTTGTTCGTTTAGAGGATGCTCTACTTTTATTGTTTTGCATACTTGTTCAGTTGTTTGTCCTTTCAATCACTCCTTTGGCCTTTCTTTGTCTTTGATTGAATGAGATGTTCATACTTTATTTCATCTCCCCTTGTACTTGGAAAGTTGAAACGTAGGTGAATTGTGCAATATCTTCTGTCTTTTCCTACACTCCTGTAGCCTGATCTAAGTTTGATTCCAACTGATTTTGCCTTTTTGTCTTGAGTATCAAGGGTAGTGTATGTGAGCTTTGAGCATCCTGGGGCAAAAGCGAAAAACAATACGGAGGTTTGTATGATGTGAAGGTGTGTACAGTGTGGGAGCTAGGAAAGGGACTTCTGATATATTACTCCATGGAGTCTTTGGTTCGTGGTATTGTGTTGGTGAAACTTTCATGCAGCATATAGGTTGATGATAGATTGGCATCTCTGTTAAATTACTTCCTTTCCCTCTTGTTGTCTTGTTACATCTTTCAATTGGTGATTTGACTCGAAAATATGACTGTTGATTCGTAATTCGCTTTTGGTTTTCAAATGCTTTGTTCAGAATCGGTGTTCTTTGTTTCAGTTTTTTCTGATGATAGTGGTATTAACATATTAATAGGACTTACTTATAAATTTAATATACTTGCCCTAATTCTAAACTGTGATAAGTGATATACTTTATGGCTAGAAGCCTAGAAGATAATCATACTAAAACCCTCAGAAATTGTTTGCAAAATCAATCTGAAGATTTTATTTTGAGACATTTGGAAGATTTACTTATCTAATATGTTGTTGTTCTATTACTCTATTTATATGCAGAATTAGCGGGTATGAAGTGTGTTTGCGGCTTTAGTGGGTGCTTAAAGCACCTAGAAATGAATCTTGCTTGAATCACTTGGTAATTGCTTGTCAACCATATGGCACTGAATTCTTTCTGGGCCTTGTACACACTGCCGTCACAGTACGGGATATCCAGTATGATGCCTGGAGAAAAGGTACAAATATGGATCTTAAAGGTGTGTTTGGTTCACATGTTGTTCATCAGTAAGCTTTCAAAACCTGACAGCGTCAAAATTGTTTCACAATTGAGAGACTAATGATTTTAGCAAAAAAAACGCTTGCATTACATTCACAAAATTTGTAAAGGACATTGTATTGTTTTGGATTTAGTTTCTTTCTGACCTTACTATTTCAGTTGTAGCTTATTCCTTTTGACCTTACTGCAAGTATTCATATTGATTTTTGCACTTTGCTTTTATTTTCGCCATCGTATCTCCCTTTCCTCTGATTGAATATTATGGTGGAACATGAGATGAAAATATTGTACTGAATGCATATGTAACTAACGTCTTCTTTTACTATAAGGAGCAACAATTTTTTGGTGTTCTCATTTGATTGAATGTGTACTGTTTTAGGCTATAATGTCTTGAAGAATGAAACTATTTGGGTGGAGTCTATTAGACTGGTTTATAATAAACTGAGATGGTATTAACGTGGATTGAGTTTTAATAAAAGGGGTTAAATGTTAAAACAATGCCATCATTCTCAAATATAACGTATAGAATATAAATTTATTTATCTAATCACTGGATTGTAACTATAATTGTTTACATATTATGATAAAAGCTATCTGAGTGAAATACAATTCTCTAAATCACCTAACTATCAATCGATATGCTTTCTTAATTACTGTTCTCATTCATAGCTTTTGCTGCTAAGTATGATACCAATAATTGAACTGATATTGCAATTTAAAAACGGTGAAAGCCATGTCTTTCAATTAATGAAGAATCGTAAGTCTCATTTTCTGACTGATAAAAAAATTATGATAGTCAACAATCATCGTATTCGCACAAATAGCCTAGTTTTTTTTTATATTTAAATAATATATTTTTAAATTTTTTTCCTCTAATTAGTATACATGTAAAAAAAAAAAATTGGACTTTTTTTTTTGTTACGTAAGTGTATTTGCACATCTATAGATGGTATTCTTTTTTATTTTATTTTTTTAAATAAGTATAGTGTATTTTAGAACAACACTTGCCTCTTGGACATGACACGTGTTATGTAAAAAGCAAGTATCTCTGCTTTTGGATGATAACATCATCTCTATTTTTGAGGTCAATTTAAGGTGAAATTTTTGTGTATCATGAATTTTACAAATATTTAATATTATGAATTTTAAAAAATAAAAGATTAGGAATCGTAAGAATTTAATTTTAATTGTAGTATTAATTGTTAGTAAAAAATTAATTATAATAAATTTAATCGACATATTTTTTAATAAAAATATAAATTAAATTTATAATTGATTGAGTTACTAAAATTAGAAGTTTTTAAAACGATATTAAAAATTGTAAGAATTTACGTACAGGTCAAAACTTATTCAAGAAAGAATTTCGCTATCTTAGGACTATTGTAGTAATGGAACTTCTTTGACCTCTTGTAATTTTAATTGTAGTACTAATTTTTAGTAAAAGAACAAGGTATAATAAGTTTAGTTGACTTAATGTGCATAAAAATTGAAATTAAATTTATAATTATTTGACTTATTAAAATTATGAATTTTAAAAATAATATTAAGATATTTATTTTAATTTTGGTATTAATTATTACTAAAAATAATCTTAAATATTTTTTAAATTCACGTTACGTGTCAACATTTTACAAATCTCACTTTTTCCGTATATAATTGTCAGAATAAATATCATTCTAAAATATATAATACTTATTTAAAAAATTAAAAAGAAAATAGCATAGGATACAATTCACCATGTGATGTGAAAAAAAAAAAGTTCTATAAAAATAACGTTATATGTGTACTAATTAGAAAAATAGTTTTGGGTAATAGTTTTTAACTAGAAAAAGATTCTGAATCATTCATGATCAATTATTTGAAATAGCATCGTTCACTTCCAATATATTTTTGTTCTTCTTTTCTCAAGCCTAAAAGGAGAACAAAGAAATCAACAATTTCTACGTGCTGTAAGTAGAGTAGACAGTATCAACGATTTCCATTAAGTGAAGGTTAGCATATTCTTAGATTATTTATTTAAAAAAATTTTAAAGCTTATAAAAGCGTTTTATTATTTAAAACAAAAAAATACTATCACACTAACTCACGGCGAGTGATTCTACCAACACCAGCTAAACCGGTTTCCTTCTATATTTTAACATTCTATGACTACGTCAACGTTTGTGAAATTGAATTCAATGTTGTAACGTAGACCAACACAAAGTAGAAACTACTTGTTTATGTTTAGTTTAAAGATGAAAATTCCAAGGGAAAGAGAAGTTTTCCTTAGTTTTGCTTCTTTCGGTACTTAAAATATTGCAATGATTTTTAATGTGCGAAATATCGTATAGAAAAAAAAAGTATAATAAATTACATTAAATTTCATAACTTTTAATAAAAACTTACCTGTAAAGTAGAAAAATCGATATTTGCAATTTGCATGAACTCACCAACTCTCTCCCACCGACCCCATCTCCCTCTTCCTCATCTTACTAATACAACGCACTTTATTTCTTCTTTTCTTGCCGTCTGAAAGTTGCTAAGCTTCAATCTTTCTCATTTACCAATCCAACTACGTATTGCATCCTTGTGATGATTTCCATGGCCAACACACTACATAACGCCGCCATCTCTAGAATCACGTTTGGAGATTGTTCCATTTCTCGTTGTGTTTTTCCATCATTTTCCACTCTTCCTCTCAGGTTACTTCAACTCCCATGTTTCATTCCACTTCAGTTAGCAATAGCATCACTCGTTGCTAAATTGCTAATCCTTTTTCTGCCTTTGTAGAGCCATGCAAAACGGAAAACACGTAGAGCTTAGCAAAACGTTTGGGGTAGTAAAGGCAAAGTCAAATGGTGATTTGGAAATTTCTTTGAGCCCAAGGGTTGATGCAGTTAAATCTTCCAAAACTGTAGCCATAAGTGACCATGCCACTGCTCTTTTACAAGCCGGTGTTCCTGTTATTCGTTTAGCTGCTGGAGAACCTGATTTTGACACACCCGCTGTTATATCTGAGGTGATTTTCTTTTTATAATTTTCACTCTCTTTGATTTGTTGTTTATAATTTTTTTTTCTTTTTCTTAGGCTGGGATGAATGCAATTGGTGAAGGGTACACGAGATACACCCCTAATGCTGGAACATTAGAACTGCGCCAAGCAATTTGTCATAAGCTACAGGGTTACTTCAGAATTCAGATGTTTGATTTTTGTACTTTTTTGGTTATTAATACGTGAGATTAACAATGTGGCAGGACTGTTGTTGCAGAGGAGAATGGAATTGCATATACTCCTGACCAGATTTTGGTCAGTAATGGAGCCAAGCAAAGTGTTGTTCAAGCAGTGCTGGCAGTTTGTTCCCCAGGAGATGAGGTATGTAATGGTTTTATACTCATGCAGAGTCATTATAAAGTGAGAAAACTTCTGCAACTGGGCATTCATTTCCTTAATTCTACGATATTTTTGCTCCATGTTTTATTTCTGTGTTTTACTTACTAAATATGATTGTCACATATTTAGTGTGCACCTGTCCATTCATAAAATTGCATCTTTTTGTTGCTTTATAAAATTTATTACATAGAAGTTTATTTTTCCTTTGGCAATCTGTGGTGATTTACACTTACCTTCTACTATGAATGTTTCAGGTCATTATTCCCTCACCATTCTATGTGAGTTACCCAGAAATGGTTAGATTGGCTGATGCAACACCTGTGATTCTTCCAACCCACATATCTAATAATTTTCTTATGGATCCCAAACTGCTTGAAGCCAGCCTCACTGAAAAATCGAGACTACTTATTCTTTGTTCACCATCTAATCCAACAGGATCGGTGTACCCTAAGAAATTACTTGAAGAGATAGCCCAAATTGTAGCAAAGCACCCCAGGCTTCTGGTACTGACATTCATCTATGATGCTTGAAAATGTGTTCTCCTGAATGATAGTTCGTTTCTAGATCCTTATGATTATTTTATACATGCAGGTTCTCTCTGATGAAATTTATGAACACATAATTTATGCACCAGCAACTCATGCAAGCTTTGCTTCTTTACCTGGAATGTGGAACAGAACTCTAACTGTAAATGGTTTTTCTAAGGTTGTCTATAATGATATGTGCTCTTACTGATGGAGTGTAGTCCCTAATTACTATTATATTTTCTTTTGGGTAGGTTGATGGTGTTTGTATAGTTGATCCCTTGTTTTTCTTTTCTACTCAATATGAATTGTGCATTTCTTAGTGTTTGTAAATTATGATTGTGTAGAAAGCCTCGGGTCCAAGTGCATTTTTGGATTTATGTTTAAATGAGTATGAATTCATGTAATATTTTCAATATATTTTCAAACACGCACTAGATTGTGATATGTTTAAACTCTGTTCCTTTAGACATTTGCAATGACTGGTTGGCGGCTTGGGTATGTTGCTGGTCCAAAAAATTTTGTTGCAGCATGCGGAAAGATTCAAAGTCAAGTATGCTGTTTTTCTCTTCTTTTTTTTTTTTATTTGAAAGATCAAACATCTCTCGATTAATAGTATATCAAACATATAATGTTGGACATATGTTATATTGGACACAGTTAACTTCTGGGGCATGTAGTATATCTCAGAAAGCTGGTGTTGCTGCATTAGGACTAGGCTATGCAGGTGGAGAAACTGTTTCTAACATGGTGAAAGCGTTCAGGGAAAGAAGGGATTTCTTGGTTAAAAGCTTTAGAAAAATGGATGGTGTGAAGATATCAGAACCACAGGTAAAAATTTATTAGCATCTTGCTTGACTGTTATTCTCTCTATTTTTAGCCTCTCCCTTTTCTTCAAAATTGAACTATTCTTTTTCTCTATCAGGGGGCATTTTATCTATTCATTGATTTCAGCTCTTATTATGGAAGAGAAGCTGAAGGGTTTGGTGTAATAGAGAATTCAGACTCCCTCTGTAGATACCTACTAGACAAGGGCCTGGTATATATACTCATTTAATGGCCTTCAAGATTTTAGCCATATTTTATCAGGAGAAAATTTCAAAGTGATTTTTTCACCATGTTATCTAAAACTATTTTTTTAACCTGTGAAACATTGAACATAATAAAAATTAAAAAATAAAAAATTCAATGCGTTGATACTACTAAATGATACAATTTTTAATAAAAATTTATTATTTATTAATTTCTTATTATGTGCAATGTCGCCCAGGTTAAAATATCTCCAAAAAATAGTCATAGAACTTAATATTAGCTAGCACAAAGGATTTTCTCTTTCTTGAAATGAGAGCTAAAAAACTGAAATATATATGGAAGGCTTCATTCATGTTTAATCATCATCACCATCAAATTGTGTATATAAAGTCACATAGTAATAGCCTAAGCCATAACTTTTTAACTATGCAACAGGTTGCCCTGGTGCCAGGGAGTGCATTTGGAGATGATTCTTGCATCCGTATTTCTTATGCAGAATCCCTTACTATCATAGAGGAAGCCGTAGAGAGAATTAAAAAAGCACTTATCCCTCTAAGCTCTGCAACACTTGTTTAATTAATGCCAATTAATCGTGCTCTTACTTCTACTTGGTGTGTATGTATTTTATTTGACAGCGTGTGGAGACGTTGCTGACTCCACAACTAAATGCCACAGCCTCATTCATGTTTAAACAGTGCCAGTATTTGTAGTATTGGAAATTTAATATTTAATATGTCATATCTGTTCTGAAGTGAGACAAACTTGTGTTGTTTTGGAAAAATTAAATTTCTATAAGTATCAAGGTTGATAACGTAGGTAAACTTTGAGCAACCTAAGGATTAAAGCTAACAGACAAATTAAAGCTCATATGGCAGAGCTAGTAAGGGGACATTTCGGTTCATAACTGCATGGTTTATTTTGATCAGTAGTTAATTAATTGTCTTATTGGTGAAAATTTCAAGCAGCAATTAGGTGACTTGTGTTCATGATAGATTTTTATGTCATCTAAAGTTGTATCTTTTCCATATCCTGTTGGACCAAATCACTATTTTATATAATTTTTTTCTACAACATTTTGTTATAATTTTTTTTCCCATGTCAGTTGTCTTTTCTTATACTTCTCTTTTATTTTTATCTCTCTCTTAAATGTTAAAAGAAATTGTATAAACTTGTACAGATAGAATTTCTCGTTCTAATGTGCCTTTAATTGCTTTAGAGATGCACTAGATATGTTTGGATTATTGTTAAATGCGACTCTCAGCTACAATTATGTCAAACAACATTACGGTATTTGTAGACAAAATATACATTCTCCAATTCATGGAGGGATGCGCAAACTATAATCCAAACAAGGAACCATTTGAGTTTCTCATGCTTTATTGTTTAGTCCACGAAGATAGCTCAGATTTGGGCCTACGACTAGACAAAGATTTGGGCCAATGCCTTTTCTGAACCTCAACTTTTTTTCTCGTAATTTGTTATTCCTTTTGTATAAGTAAATGGTTAACCAACCAAAAGTGAAACAATGGTTTCCAGAACAAATAAAAAAAGAGTAAATGGTTTAGAACACATTTTTGGATGTTCATGACTTTGAACAACCAAAACGAAACACTGTGGCAACCCGAATTTTTAAATATATATTAAACGAAAAACAACCATAACGATCTTACATATCTATAAACATACTGTTAATGATACAAAATTATAATAAAGCATAGCAAATTATCTAAAGAATCACTAAATAATAAATGTATGTAATTTAATTTTCACCATGGAAACGAACAAATATTTCCACGTGAATACAAATGTTTTTTTTTCTTATTACCAAAAAATATAACTCTTCCTTTTGCTTCCCTTTAGTAAATTTTCAATGGAATAATGGAGGAAAAAGCTTGACATCTTTACGAGGGTTTCATCATAAAAGAAAGAAAGTGCGTTAAAAGAGAAAGCTCCATATACATTGAACCTAGACCAGTTTTGCTAGAAGTATAATAACAAATTAAAGTAATGTGCATTGAGCAGGCGTGCAGATGTGCCTACTGTAATCAATGTCAAAGTAAGCGCTTAGTGGCTTCATTACACAACACATGTTAATGATCATCGTACGGTATGAATCTAGGCATGTATCTGTCTAGGAACACCAACCCCTAATCTTTTATCCCATTTTCATCCCTGCTATTCTTTTTGAACCAAAAAAGAACAATAACTCCGCTATTAACCATTGAATATTTTTGTACAAACATTGATTATTTTGAATCCTTTATAGTTAATTATGATTGAAAATTAAAAAATATATAACTGAGAAAAAATCATTTTGTTCTTTTTTTTTAAGTTATTTTATAAAAATACACTTATGTAGTTTTATCAAATTTTATTATTAACGATGCGCATTGTAGCTAATCTATCCACGTTTAACAATAAAAATGCTAATCAATCAACTTACATACATTCATTCATTAGCTTAATATAAAAGTCTTCAATCTCCAACACTGACCGAACATACTTTCCAGCAATTTTCACACACGCCACTTCAAATTACTATTTTATAAAAGCACAAACATGATACACATGGACAGAAACTCATAGCATCTCCAACAATTACGAGATGACTTATTCTATTGCATATTCGTACATAACGTACTCAGGGACTGGAAATTCAAGATCATAAGCACTGTTATGATTTTCCACTTAGACAAATAGCTATTATATATATGTTAACAGTTGAATTAGCTTGTGGTTATTCAAACTTGGCACTCGCTCTTGCAGCCAACAGCTTCTTCAACAGTCAGAAAGACTCTCCCACCAATTTTGTCAACAAAGTTGGACACCTTTAGCTTGTGTATCACTTGCCACCTAGGGTTGGCAATGGCTAACTGAGAAGAACACAAAAAGCACTAGGTCAACAATAGAGATAAGAAATAGATATTATTTGTTGCAAGCTTTTATGATACTAACAAGATTTGTTTAGGTTAATGTTGTATAAAGTAAACCTTGTTCATTTAAACAAAGTATTCACATGAACAAGCCTTGTCAACGTATGATTTTTTTTATTTAAGTGACATATAGAAGCAATCTTTTATACCTATAGCTCAAACACAAAGGAGTTACCTGCTTCCCATGTGAAGACAAACTTTTATGCAGGTCCTCTAGAGCAGCAATTCCGGAAGTGTCAATGTTCACCAAATCTGTCACGAGAATATCATGAATTAATTATATAAAAAAAAAACAACTTTAGATTGTAAAATTGTTAACCTCACAACTATCCCACTAACATTAATTCTTATATTCTTTCAAGTTTCTGTTCTACCATATTAATCAATTATAATTTGCATCATGCATCATAACATCGCTTTTAGAATTAGAACATAGCCAATCCATGGCATAGGCATCGAAAAGCACCACTAGAGCCTGTTTAAAACGAAAGACCCTAAAATCACGTTTTCATAAAGAAAAAAAAAGATGTTGCGTAGAGTCATAGAGTTTTGAGTGTTTAGATTTTGCTTTTTTATATAGAAAATCAATTCTGCAATAGGTAGAATTGATTTTAGAAAAATTGAAAATTTGTAACTTTTTTATAAAATATATATTGATTATAGGTGGAGATATGAATTATATTTTGTTTACATTTCAAAAGCAATTTTATTGTATTAACTAAAGAAATTCAATTTTCAACCCACTTTTAAAAAATTATATGCAAACACATTAATTTTCTTAAAGTTAAATATCAAAATCAATTCTTTCAAAATTAATATCATCTAAATTAATTCTACCAAATGTCCTTAGATACTTGTGTACTTCAGTAAAAGTAACAAGGTGCAATAAATTCTGTTAATTTCATATTCTGTCTGTCATATTTTGGAAATAAACTTCTTCCATTTTAAGTAACGGGAGTCAGAAAAGCCTTACTGGAGGTGTCAATAATTACGAGTTGAATGGTGCTTTTTGAATTTCCCTTGTCATCATCTTCCGATTCTTCCTCAGCGACCCATTTGATTATCCTTCAAACAAAAATTAAAGATTAGGTTATTCATGTTTCATACATTATTTCTGACATTAATTCCCTCCAAGGAAGTACTTATTTATTGTATGTAGCTAATTAATTAATACCTTTCTCTAACGAAATTGGCATTTGCAAAGCAAAGTAACGCAGACTTGACACGAATTATCATAACCCCGGGAATCTTAACTGCCATTGGATACTGATAAACATCGCAGAACAAATCAGTTCCCGGAAGTTTTCCTAGAGTTTCTGTGCCAGGTCGAATTGAGATGAGAATGATCTTCGAAAAAGATATTACCACCTGCAAATTACATTAACAGAATCCAAATTTTAATAGACCCATAATTTATAATATCAAGCAATACTTTTTCTTGAATTTTCTTTGGAATATCTTGTGGCAAGTGTGAATGTTGTTTGTGTCGGAAAACAATGTATTAATTTGTCGATGATATAACTAGCACTTCTAAGAGAGAAAAGGACTACTCTATGCCATTAGAGCGAAGAAACAATTTGACATAACACCCTAAAGTGTTAGTGATTTGTCGAAAACTTTTTATATTAAATATATTTATCAAGTGATTGCAACCCTAGTTAGGAATATCATTCCATATAGAGAATTTACTAGGCGCCTTTAATTTTCAAGATAAATGCGTCCAACCAGAAACAAATGCGGTTTTTTCAACGATGCACATCCATTCTGCATCACACTTAGTGCCAAATATGTTGGACCAGTGAAGTGGTGGGGTATGCTTATTAGATATAATGGAAAAGTTAGGCATTGGTCCATGCCATCACCGATTATTCTGAAAATTTGAATTTCTTGTTGTTTTGAACAAAAACCATATACTCTTTAAATAGTAGAACTAGGTTGCAAGCTAATAAATATCCACTCGTAGTGTCGTTACCTTCACAAATAGAGCTGTTCAATTATTATTGCGTTTCATAATTATCCAACACTAAATCTGAGCTTGGTTTTCCAGCAATTTATAATTAAATACCATTTACATATAATTTATTATTTCCAGTGGAACAACTAGTGAGTGATGTGGCTTAGAGATGCTAAGGTTGATTTTTAATATAGAAATTAATAAAAGAGAGCTATTTTAATTAACGTGTATAATATATTAATATAGAGGGGCTTATATATAGCGAGCCATATGTTTTGACTTTCTAAAAACAGTAGCATAGTTGAGCTGTATGGCTCCAATAACCCCATTATAACAAGGACAACAGCAGCAGGTCACCAGTGGCAAAAACTGACACACAACTACACATGTATGAATTTATTAACAAGTGTTCACTGACTAGAATCAGAAAAAAGGTAAAACATTAAACTTTTTAATTATATGTACAACTTATACTTTTTAAAAATTGATAAATCCAATTCATCGACTATATATGATTGAAAATTCAAAATATAGTCATTATATTTTATTCAAAATAAAAAAAAGTGCACAATAAAAATATTAAAGTCTTTTTACTTATTTAGAGTTGCTGCTAGTAAGAATCTTTAAGCTCATAAATGGATGGTAATGAAATCAACTAAAGCCAAAACTTAGAAGAGATAACGAAGTGCCAATGATTACCGCCACTAGAAGACCAATCTCCACAGAAGCAAATAGTACCCCAAAGAAGGCTCCAGTGCAAGCAAGAAAGTCTAACTTGTCAACCTTCCAAATTTTGTAAGCTTCAGTGACGTCAATGAGTCCTGGGAGAGCAGAGAGAATGACAGAAGCAAGAATAGCGGTTGGTGTATAATATAAAAGCTTTGTCAAAAACTGCAATGATATCAACACCGTCACAGCCATCACAATGTTTGACACTAAAGTTTCACAGCCAGCCGCATAATTCACAGCGGTGCGGGAGAACGAACCTGCCACAATTCTTTATATTAAGAGTATTTGATATATATTCTTAATCAATTAAACAAAAACAAACAAACAAACAAACATTAAAATAGTTGTCTATATGTTGTGGTGTCCCTTGCCCATAATTTTACCTAGCTAGCTCTCAAAAAGTATTATTTATTTTCTTCGTTTCCAATAATAAGAGGTGAAAAAAGGAGAACTTCATGGATTCAATTCAATTGTTTAATTATATTGGAGTAGTTTTTTAATTGCTATTATGCTTTCCAAAAGTAATTTTAGGAAAGTGGTGATAAAAAGATTTTAAAGATACCAAAAATAATAATAAAAAAGAGTAAAATTAATGTGTTCGTAGCATTCTATATCGTACTTCTAAAAATATTTGTGTATCGTCTTTCAAGAAAGTTTAATTGGTAGAAATAAAATGCAATAATCATAATGTAGTATAAATTCCACAACGCATTTTTATATACCAAAAAAATAGTTTTTATATGTATTTTTGTGTTTGCATAAAATTAAGGAATGAATAAGAAAATTAAGTTATTAAAATGGATGTAAGAAAATTAAGAAATTAAAATGTCAAAGGCAATCAAAGGCTGCTAGCTTATCGATTTGTTCAAAACCAATTCACAGCAGCATTAAAAAAAAATAATGACTTAACATAAATAATCTCACAACTCCAATTTTGTTACCCTTATCTCTATAAATTGAGAAATAGGTTTACTTAGATAAAAGAATTATACCAGTTGCAACATAACAGGAGGTGAAAGATCCTATGATGTTTGTGACGCCTATTGACATCATCTCCTTGTTTCCATCAAGTTGGTATCCTTTGATGGATGCAAAAGATCGTCCAACAGCAACAGATTCCTATTAAGACACCAACATGAAAGGGAAAATTATTACACAAACAAAAAGAAAGAGATTAGAATATGGTAACTGTGATTAACTTTATCGTCAAATTGTCATAATTAAGTTGAGGGTAGCATATATATGTAATTATAATTGGCTACTCACAGTTAGGGCGACGACAGCAACCACTAGTCCAATTTTGGCCACTTCTCCAATGTAAGGGTTGTTGAAGTCTAATTGATGGATGGAGCTTGGATTCAATCCTCCTTTGACATGTTTCACTATTTTAACTCCATTTTTATCAGCTCTTGTCAGAAAAACAGCTAAAGTTGACAATACAACAGATACAAGAGGAGAAATTGATGCCAACCAGAACAACTTCTTCCTTTTACCCTGGAAATTAGCCCCGAAAGTGCATTGAACATCGATTTGAGGAAATTCAATTCAAGCTAGAAATTAGAGGGAAAATGGACCTATCTTGAGCTGATTCAGTGCTATGTTACTCACCAGAAATCTAGTTGTTAAGATGAAGATCAAGAAAGAAGTTCCGAGGATAAAGTTACGCGGGTTCCACTGTAATTCAACAAAATGCCAGCGTTAATATGATAAAACTATATTTATCAGCTATTTAAAATTTTAATGAAATTATTATGATAGAATTATTTATTAATTATGGTTATTATTTTAACATTTTAAATACATGGATCGATGCAGATGAGTGCTTGTATTTACTTTTAATCTAAATTAGAAAGAGAGCTTGTGTATGTGTGTGTCTATGTGTGTGTCTGTATATATATATATATATAATTAGTTAATCATTAATGTGTATTGATAAAAGATAACAACTAAAATATATTAATTAATATATATAAATGAAATATATAATGAAAAATAGGTGCTAAATTTAATTTAAAATATCACTTATTTTTTAATTTATGTGCAAAATCTTTAATGTTGAAAAAAATAGGAGTTTTTGTAAATCAATAATTTAATTAGTTATAATGAATATCATGAATTGTGAATGGTGTCTGGTCCTGGTCCCAAAACTATCTTTGTTCTTAGTTCCCCACCAGGCACAGCTCCCAATTTATAGGGAATAGAAAAAAGTAAACGGATAGGGAAAGATATATAGTAGCATACGGGATTGTGAACTGCTTCCCAAACCGCTTTCAAGACAGAGATTATGTCGGTTTTGGTCGTAAAATGAGTGATTCCAAACAGTCCCTTCAACTGTTGAAGCCCAATCACAATGGCTGCTCCTCCCACAAATCCAACTATCGCAGCATGGGATAGGAAATCCACAAGGAACCCCAGCCTGTGTTAATTGCCCATTAAGGTTATAAGCAATCTCATATATATATCATTACTATTACCTTGTACTAGTATTACTATCTTATGGTAAAATTATAAAAAAAAAAAATGAAAGGAACTAGAGCATAGTATATCGATAAGGGAAGTGTTAAAATTTTCACCTGAAAACTCCGAACGAAGTTTGAAAGATTCCAGCAAAGAGTGTAGCAAGCAAAACCAGCTTTGTATATCCCACTGGATCAACAGCAGGGTCTGTTAATTTCTGGATCATTGATGATAACAGCAGAGAAACCACAGCCACAGGACCAATTGCTATCTCTCTAGAAGTTCCCATTACAGCATAGATAAGCGGTGGTACAACACTTGTGTCTAATTGATTTCATTACACAAATCAGTAATCCAATATCAAAATATTAATAAGGAGAACATTAAAATTTACTTACAAAGGCCATATTGAGGATCAAGGTGTGCTAAAGTCGCATACCCAATGCTCTGCATTGAAAGTAGAAACCAACACACCACACAAAAGTTGAGATATTTTCTAGTCTTAATTATATGCTTTCAACTAGCAGAAGAATTATCGCGTGTTCAGTTATACATTAAAAAAATATATAAATAAATTTCTACCAGTTGTAACTTTTGCACTAAATTTATATATGCAAAGTTATAACGAATTATATTAAAGTAAAGATGAATTCATAAACATTTGAATGCTAGTCTAAACATAGTATTATAAATTAATTAGAATTATGTATGTACCTGGGGAATACAGAGACTTGCAATAGTAAGGCCTGCAAGAAGATCTTTCCTGAATTTAGAAGCAGTGTAGTTTCTGCCCCATGCAAGAATAGGAAAAATGACTTGCAAAACTGAAAGCAGGAGTGTGGTGAAGGGTTGATCTCTGAGAGAGGAAAAGCTTCTTTGACACTGGGAAATGGTTTTACTGAGAGAATCTGCAACCACACGGTAGGGACTTGGGGGCTGAGGAGCATTAAGAACCCATTCAGACCTTACATCATGCGACTTCTTCTCAATGTCCTCCTGCGATTTGCTGGTCTCCATCATTGAAGAAGCCATAATTGAAGTGTTTGGGAGAACTTTGTCTCTTTGATTTTCACTACACTCTCATCAAACTCACAAATTGATTGAAGAGTTCAGCTATCAAGTTGAAGGACTTCATGTTTAGAAGCCACCTTATATAGACCATCTAAAAAGTGTTGTCTCACATCATCCATTTCAAAACAAATAATAAGAGATCAAAATGTGCTTATTTGAATTTAAACAAGTATATAAGTTGTTTTAAAATAACTTACAAAAATAATTTTTAATTTCTATATATGTTTTAATATTATTTTAATAAGTTATTTAGTATAAGTTATTAACATAAGTTATTTTAAATTTATTTTAAAATTTTTATAATTAAACAAATTGTATAAACTTTCCTATAATAAAAATTCATTGAATAAGTTTTGAATTGAGTAATATCTCTTCAAATGCATCTATATTTTTAAATGATTCAGTGGGTAGAATAAGACAAGATTGAATCTTTTTTATTTTTAAGATGAGAAAATATTTTTAATTAATAGTTAAAATGGCACTTTATCCTCTAAGTGTACCTCTTTTTCAAATAGCCCACAATATATGCATTAAATTAGAATATATTCCTTTAATAGTAACTGAATGACGGTGGAATCTATTTTTTCTTATAAAATTATAGTTATTATATATAAATTCTCTTCTTTAGAATTTAAATTTTCAATTAAATATATGTTCTTAACCTCTCTTTTTTCTTTTAAACGTATATTTAGTAAATAGCTCTCTTGCATTTAGTGTTGATAATTACATAATCAGTATGCTTGCAAAAAAGGTTCAGAATTTATCCTACAATTTGGTCGGACGAAAATGTCAATGCTACAGGAAAATTGTTAGAAATGAAAGAAAGATTAAAATATTAAAGAGGTTATTTAATAAAAGGAGCTAAAATAATTTAAGTTAAATTACTTTTAATTACTTATAAATTTAAGTTTTAAAATATTTTTATAATATAAAACTTTTAACAAAATTTTCATACTCTTAAAAATTTTAAATAATTCTCTATTTATTAGTGGTTTACTTTTACTAGGTTATTAAGTGAACATTTAAAAGAGTTTATACTGACTTTATAACATTTTATAAACAAATTTTTTTATCGTATTTCATTAAATTTTATAATATATCTTATAGTAAAATAAGTTAATTACTGAATAAATGTAAATATACTTTAATTTGAAACTCATGCAGTTGTATAATTTATTGAATTTCTTAAGTATAATTTATTCAAGTGTTTTAATAAGATCCCATAAATTTAACAAAAGTTAGTAAACTAACTATTTTTTTAAAAAAAGTATTTAAGTTTGTGAAAAAATTAGAAAAAATACACTAATATTAAAGATAGGTTTTACCTTTTCAATTATGCTAAATTTAAATATGGTACAAGCGGCACTGTTACTGTTGATCAATTATGTGATGTCAGATGTAGTACTTAGAATTAACAAACGAAAGTAGGTACCATGATAAAATCTTAAAAAGGTAATCCGTGAACGATGATAAAAATAAAGGGTCAAATAAAACATAGGAGATAGAGCTTTATTCAGTCAACGCCATTCCTTGGAATCTAAACTAGGCAAGTAGGAGTAATTAATTATGTTTATGAATGAGCTGAAGCATCTTAGCACCTTTCTTTGGCCCACTAATTACTAATTACTAATTACTAATTACTAATTAGGCACCAACACCAGACCTTCCGATACATTGAATGTAGACACGTTTTTCAAGAGCAGTGCTCTAATTAAAAGTTAAAATCCTCCACTTTCAGAATTGAAGGGAACCACTAAGTGAATGACATGAATTTTCACTGCATCACCTATTATTCATTCAAATTATATTAATATAATGTAATATTCTTTAATTGTTACTTTTAAAATTGCACACGGTGAATATCACAATCTCATGAATTCTATAGATGCTGGGGCAGTGTGTATAATTCAGTTATTAGAAATATTAAAACGAAAAAATATTAGTTTTCTTAAAATACAAGTTTAAAATTTAATTTTTTATTAACAACATTAAAAAAATACTTATTCTTATAATTTTTAATGAATTTTAATATATTTTTAAAGATAAATTTATTATGTATTTATTTTTTAAATAATATTTTTAGGACACTCATTAATAAAATCATATTAAAATTTATAATTTATTAAACTTATATTTTAATATTAAATTTTAACATATAAAACTTAATAATTTTTTATTAAAAATATTTATTATACTTTTATATATGTAAGGTAATATATTTCTTCTTCTTTTTTAATATTGTATGTCACATGATATATTACTTTTTATCTTTTTACTTATTTTTCATTTTTTATACGGTATTTATTCGAATTTCAATATGGATCTATAGATTATAAGATATTTTTTCAATCTTATTTATAAAAAATAATTATAATTATTTTTAAATATAAAAATAAATATTTTTTAAATATAATAATTTTTAACTATTTTTATATTTTTATTTATTATAAAATTTATATTAACAAGATACATATTTATTTAATACATGAGATATTGACTATTTTTTTTCATTTAGTTTAATTTAAATATGACTTGAAATCTTACTTAAGTAATATTGAGTTTGTCACTTAAATTAACTTCTATTGATAATATTAACTATTTATTACTATAATATTTTAAATTACACTATAATAAATAATTATTTTTTATTAATTTTAATGAATTATGTATTTATTTTTTTATAAAATTAAAAAAATTATTATAAGATTTAATTAATTAATAATATTAAATACTATAATTTTTAATAAATTTTATAATATATATATATATCGACAGAAATATCCACTTTCAATGGTACACAAGACGTTTTCATATTATACTGATTAGTGGAATTTAAATTGTATCGATATTGTTTCGATGAACAACTAAATTAGATGAGTACTTTTTCTTTTTTAAAGAGAAGTTATAACTCGGATGAAGTTCGTTTAATTCCAAAGCTGAAAAAAAATATCACAGTGAACATTAGAGTAATATATAAATATTTACTAATATTTATATATTTAAATCAATTTTATGTAATTATTACATTGTAAGTTTAAATTAGTTTATTTTGAATAAAAAAATATTTTACTTTTATTAATTTTTAAAATTTTTATCCGTAAATATTGTGGATGAGTCTACCAATAGAATTTTTTTGAATATATAAGAACTCAAATCTGAGATTTTACTTAAGTGATATCAAGTCGCTTGCCACTCAGACTAACTTCTGTTGATAAATTTTAATTCTTTTTATCTATTTGTTTTATAAAATGATACATTTATTAATATTTATATATTTAAATCAATTTTCTGTAATTTTATATATTTACTTATGCATAAGTTTAAGATCACATTAATTGTATTTTTGACAGTTTTGTAAATATTGGATGGATTTTGAGCATATAAAATGCTACATTTTTATAAAAAAGAAAATATTTATAAAACTATATATTTTTAAAGTAATAAACATTTTATTTACAGTAAAAAAAGTATCATTTTGATATGGTTAAAATCTAGTCAGTATTATGAGAGGAGTAAGTATAATTTTTCTTACAATATTTTAGAGAAATTCATTTATTTATTAAATATAAAATGCACATATGATTCTAAAATATTAAATTATAGGGAGAGATAAGAGTAAAAAAAATAAAGAACGTTAATTACATTTCATAGAGTATGGACTAGTAACTTAAGTAGACAAATAAGAATTAAAAAAAAGAAGATAAATATTAATCAATGTCTAAAGATCGTATTCATGTAACAATTTGCTCCAAATTAATACCGTAAAACTCCATAAAATAAAAGTAAATTGTTGTTATTTGTTGGTTATAAAGTAACCATTTTAGTAACCATCTGACAACATGCGTCTACAGCTTCTTCCACAGACAGAAAAACCCTTCCTCCAATTTCGCTCACGAAGTTAGCTAATCTTAGCTTGTGAATTACGTGCCACCTAGGGTTAGCCATAGCTAACTGAAACAAATTAAGAAAAAATAGTATTAGAAAAAATAATTTCAATACAATTTTTTTATTATTGACTGAAATTTATTAAAATTATTAAATTAAAAATAAAAGTTATGTAATGTATAATAAATTTGAATTAATAAAATGCACTTAAATGGGTAATATATTCCTAACATTTCTTAAAGAAAACTCACTTTGACTCCATGTGAAGTGAGAATTTTATTCAGCTCGACCAAAGAAGCAATTCCCGCGGTGTCAATATTCGTGAGACCTATAATGTTGTAAGATCAATTAATCAATGGAGAATTGCATGCAAGAACATACGTTAATAACTTAGGTTAATGCGAGACTCACTTGAGGCATCAATAATGACGTGTTTGAAGGTGATTTCCCCTTTGCCATCCTTGCCTTCTTCGTTGGTCACCCATCTCCCAATCCTTTTCAACAATGTTAATTTGTTCAAATGTTAATTAAAGCCAAATTTCAAATTCATGGATCCATGGGAAGAAGGGACAGTGCTAGACAACAGATACCTTTCCCTGACAAGACTTGCATTTGCAAAACAAAGCCAAGAAGATTTTAGAGAAACTATCAAAACTCCAGGAACGTTGACCGCCATTGGATATTGTTCAACGTCACCAAATGCATCAGTTTCAGGAAGCCTTCCAACAAGCGCTATACCAGGTTGAATTGAGATTATAATTATCTTCGCAAACGATATCGTGATCTGCACTAGAACTTCATGTAGTCAGATAAAAAATACACTGTGTGTGAAGAAAGAATACTAATAATATTATAAGAAAAAATGTAAATTATCTTTCAACAGTTTTTGAAATAGAAAAAGGAAAAAATATACCCCAATTGCAAGGCCAAATTCGACGGATGCAAACAAGACACCGAAGAAAGCTCCTGCGCAGGCAAGGAAATCGGTTTTATCAACCTTCCAAATTTGATATGCTTTGTTAAGGTCAATGAGTCCTGGTATAGCCGATAGAATTATTGCTGCTAAGATTGCTTTTGGAGTGAAATATAAGAGCCCTGTCAAAAACTTGAGTGACATCAGAACCGTCAGTGCCATCACTATGTTCGACACCAATGTTTCTGATCCTGCATTATAGTTTACAGCAGTTCGTGCCACTGAACCTGCATCGTTTTTTTATTCGTGCTCATTAGCAAACACACAGATTTTTCTAGTTTTACTCATATCTTATTTAAAATTAATTAACCTGATGCAATATAGCAAGAAGTGAAGGATCCAACAATGTTCATTATGCCCAATGATACCACTTCTCTGTTGGGATTCAGATTGTATCCTCTAAGGGCTGCAAATGATCGCCCAACAGCAATAGATCCCTGTGATTCAACAAAATATATTGTACTTCGTTAGAAAGACTCCCATCATTAAAGATTAACAGAGAAAATTTGAATAAGGAGGTACCCCACCGTGAGTGAAATAATAGCAACGGTCAACCCTATTTTGATCAAAGGAGCCACAACTTTGCCTTTGAATATTAACTGGTTGAATGACAATGGATTCAAGCTACCTCCTTTGATTGGTCCCAAGACTTCAACTCTATAGTCCTTCACTTTAAGCTCATGAAAATTTATTCTGTATGCAATAACAGAGGATACAATGACAGAAAGGAGAGGAGCAACATGTGACAACCAGAAGAGTTTCCTGTTCCTTCTCCCCTGTTTGGATATGCAACAACATAGTTTAAAATAACTCGCAATTCAGATAGAAAATGAACCACAAAATAATTCAGCAACATTATTATAGCCCAAATCAAACTAACCAGGAATCTGGTAAATAGGATGAAACAGAGAAATGAGAATCCAATAATAAAATTGTAAGGATGCCACTCTGACTGAAAATAGTAAGTGAAGGAAATATTAATAATTAACCAACTAACAAAACAATGAACTTTGACTTGTAATAAAATTTTGCTATGTTTACTTGGTTTTTGAACGATGTCCAAACAGCTTTCATTACTTCAATTAAACCAGTTTTGTTGGTAAACTTAACGATCCCAAATAACCCTTTTAATTGTTGTAATCCAATGCCCAGGGCAGCTGCTGCCAAGAACCCCAGGATCGTGGCATGGGAAAGATAATCCACTAGGAAACCTAGCCTGTAAAACGTGAGAAACAACGTTATAAGCCATGCCCTAAGTCTTTAATTCTACAAAAAAATTGTACAATTTAAAATTAATTTTTATAAAATATTTTGTTAGAATATATTTTTTACTTTTTTTACAAATTATCATTTTTAATTCTTCTAATTTACATGTTTCATTGATTGGACTGTATAAGTTAGAAGGCTGAAAAATAATAATTTACATATAAAAAAATAGAGATTATATCTTAACAATATCTTATACATAATAAGTTTAAATTATGCAAATTTTATAAAGATCAAAAACTTAATTAAGCCAAATTTATAATACCTATTTTGACACAATATTTTGGTTTAAATAAAATATTAGGCCATGGAAAATGAACAAATTGTTATGTTATAAATTTAACAATAAATTAATTATAAATAATCTCATAATTTTAAAACATTTTTAGTTTTATTTAAGTTAAAAAAATTACTCATATAAAACTAGTTATTGTAAGTATAATTTATAACAATTTTGTTAGATTAATTCTGAGTTTATCATTATCAACTATTATGTTTAAATATCTAGTTTTTCTCCACCTCATTTTTTTGTTATATTCATTCTATCAAATTATATTTTTTATTATCTCTTTCTTTTCACTTGTACACCTAAAATTGGGATGTACATCAAACATAAATCTATAATTATATTAGTTGTTGACCAGCGAGCACTAGCTAGCTGTTGTCACTTATCACAATACGTTCCATATAAAGCGTTCTTATTTTATCATTGTAAACAGCAATAAGAGGATAGCACTGACCTAAAGAGTCCGAAAGCAACTTGAAAGATACCCGCAAAAAATGTTGCAGTGAGAACAAGCTGAGTGTAAGTAATAGAATCATGAATAGGATCTTTCAATGTGTGAATCATTGAGGAAAGAAGCAATGAATCCACAGCTACAGGCCCGATCACTATCTCCCTTGAACTCGCCAGCATAGCGTAAATAAGAGGTGGCACAATACCTGTATCTGAGTAAATCGTGTTCTACTATTTAGATGTATAATATATTAATTAAGGAACATTTTAGAAGCAATCACCAATGCCCTTAGCATTTATAAAAGTCTATTACAATTTATGCAACTTACAGAGGCCATATTCAGGACTTAGCTGCGCTAGTGTCGCATTTCCCATACACTGACAACACCAAACAGTATACCAATTAAACTATTTTTTTAACGTCAGTTCATGAAAATGTAATAAAAATTGATGTAAACAATGACTAAACCGATCAATGTTTTCGTAGAAACAAAAATAATTATTTTATCTATCCAGACTACTCGTATGGCAGAAATCATTCAAAGACTAAGATAGAGTTTCTTAAACATATATACAATGTGCTAAGAAAAGGCTTCACGTATTGCATGCAAATACTAGAATTAATAATGTGTATTGTTATTTACAAATTTAAGTGTTAATTATCTTTAATTTGATTCTTTGAATTAATGCATTTGTGGCACTAACTATGAGAAGAAGAAGAATATTTCATGAACATATATATTTATGTTCATAGGTGAACCTGAGGAATGGCGAAAATTGCAAGGGTTAGACCGGCCATGAAATCGCACTTGAATTTTTGGGCATTGTAATTATGGAATGAACGTAGGATAGGAAACAGGTGCTGCAACAAGGCAAAGACGCGTTTGGAAAAAGGTTGATTTGGGAGAGAAAAGAATAGGTTTCGATTTGGACGAGGTAAGAGGGTGTCTTTGATGTTGTCCAACACCTGACGCAGCATGCATGGTGGTTCTGGAGGATTCAGCACCCACTCAGCTCTCTTCTCCTTCCCATTCTTCTCAATGTCAAGAACCTCTTCAAATATTGCAGTGTTCACTGTGGATTTGTTTGAAGCAACCATCTCTGAAACTAGAGCTCCTGCACAGTTCAGGAACCTAGTGCTTGCAGAGAAGGTGCTTCTTCAGCCCTTCTATGTTGTTCAGGACATTATAGTTATACACACAAGGATTTGGACAGGGTGGCTCATTATTGTTTGCTTTTGTTTAATCAACAAATTAGAGTTTATAAACCCAAAAATCATTGTGGAGTCATATTTAGGTAAAAAAAAATTAACAATATATTATTTATTATTTATAAGAAGAATGCACTGTTTAACATGTTATATATAATTGATTGAAAATTATAAAATTTATGTAATTTTTTAATTTTTAATAAATTTTAATAATTAATAAAACATACATTAAAGAAATATGTTAGAGATTGTATTGCTAATTTTTATTTATTCATTGTTATATAAGTTTTTAATCGGTGTCATTAATTGATGAAGAACATGTCTGAATGGACATTTTTAACAGAGATACACAATTTTTAATGAACATTTTCTAAAGTAAAAAATATTTATTGTAGCCAAAATTCCCTTTAGTGAGTTGTAAATGATACACCAATCAAATCCAAAATCATGTGAATCTTATACTTATTTAGACTTTATTTGTTTCTTTTTTTTTTTTAAATAATTCTAAATATTTTTAGTGTGTCTTTTTAAATTTTTGAAAAATTAAAGTCCAAAAAATAATATCAATTTATTTTTGAAAAAAAATTATAATTACTTTTTAAAATTAAAAAATTGTGAATAATTCATTAATTTAGCCAATTTAAAATTTATATATATATGTTTAATTAATTTTATTTATTATTTAATAGCATTAAAATAAGTGGGTGCTGAACATTTTTCTTCTCATATATTTACAGCCTGGCTGTTATTCAGTTAAAAGAATGTCAAAAGGAATCACCGAAAAGCATCTAATTAGTTAGCTGAGAAAAAAAGAAAATATGTATCGAATCAAATTGGAACCATTATTTTAAAGTGTTGAATTCATATTTCTCTCTCTATTTAACGTTGGAGATTCATTCATGGCTTGCGGCTTACCTCTTCCCCATTAGAATAATACTTTTTTAATATATGGGTTTAGTAAAAATGTCAAGATCATTATAATTAAATTATTATTTTTTTGTGCATAATTTTTATTTAAAAAATTATCATCTATGTATGTTAGAAAATATAAATTGTTTTTAGTAAAATGATTATTCTAGATAGCACTTTCAAAACGAGTTAATTCTTTGGTAAGTTCGTTTTGTAGGAATAATTTTAACTTCTCTTAATTCTATACTTATAATTTTTAATTATTAAATGAAGAGTTATTAAATTTTTTTATAATTTTAAATAATAAATCTATTTTATTTAATATTTACTTTATAAAATAGAAAGTTATTAAAATATATAGTAAAACGCGTTTTGTACTTCTGTACACTCTTTTGGTATTTTAAGCTTCTAATAATAAGATCATTAACTTCGTTCAAACATATTTAATGATTTTCTGATTAACAATTGGTAAATGAGTAGTTAATGCAGTTTGATGAATCAATTTGACCTAAGAACAAATGAAAAAGAATCTCGGAATAAGAAAATACCCATCATATTAAATTAAATTTATTTTCCTTCTCAACTACTGACAAGTCATTTATGTTTAAAATAATATCAAAACAATCGAAGTTAAAAAAAATAATCAACACTGGTGAATAATATATATTATTAGTAAAAAAATTTTAAAAAATATGATTTTGTAAAGACAATGAAATAAAATTATTTTACAGGATTTAATTAAAAAATTATTATAAAAATTTATGAAACCAGCACTTAATTTTGTTTATTAATCATCATAAAAAGGAAAAAAAAAATGACTGTTCTTCATGCTGAAATAAAAAGCTCCATAAAAATATTAATCTCCATTACGATTCGCCGCAGGTGAATCTGTCTGCTTAAGTAACTAAGGAGACACTACGTGCTAATTCATTTGTTTTGTACATTCATAATTTTTAACAAAAATAATTGATAACTTAGCAAAATTTGAAAGAAAAAAAAAGGAAGTTAAAAGTGCTAAATTAATTTATTAAAGATAAATTTGTTTTTAGATGATTATAATGTATATTTTTAGTTAACTTTAATTTTTAAAGAATTTGTATTTTTATGTAAAGATTAAATATTTTTTAATAAATAAAATAAATATCTTTATCATTAGAATGGGGAATGATTATTACTAATGGAAAAATATTTTTAAATTAATATTCATATATATTTTTATTATAAAATGAACTTTGTGTGAATTTTTTAAATTAAAATATATATGCAACTAAATTATTTAATAAAATTAACTTGTAATCCATTTAATCATTTAAAAATTATTTTTAAAAACTGTATTACATACTTTAAAGGTGTATGAACATTTGGAGGGAAAGTAAACCTGGTTATACGAGGAAACAGCTGCTTAATTAGCATGCGTGACAATCATAACATAAAGGGTTAAGGTTATTAATATTCATACTCTCAAAATTTATAATTTTTACGGTTTTATATATATTTTTTGTTTTTCAATCACATGTTATACTTCCTTTTTTTTTTCTTTCTCTCTATCTTTCTCACACTCTTACAGCTAAAAATTGTGTACTATTATAATCATCGAAGGGTTAATTAATAATTACATTAACACATTCAGTTTTGATTTTCACATAGCTGTTGTACCTATTTTATTTTAGTTTACGAATCAAATTTACAGATGTGATCGAGACTATCAAATTTTTTATCTATATATTTTATTTTTTAACCATTCAGTTGGATCGTAAAGATCGAAAAATAATTATAAAGAGAGGGAGAGAGAGAAGTAAGATGTGACTATTTATAGTTTTTGGTTCAAACCTTCGGAGTTCAGAAATCACATTAGACCTGAATTAATGTGATCAAGTTAAGTATATAAGATGCAACTATTTAGGTCAAGATCAAGAAGTTCCAATCTGATCATTCGTAGCAACAAATTTCATTATCATTGCCTTTGAGGTTGCCGTGATTTTCATGCAGTAGCCTACTATGTTTGATTATGCTATATGTGTTGTGGACTTGTTATTATCATAAAACTTTTACCCTTAAAGCTGTCTTTTTCTTCTCCATTTAGTCTCCCTTACACATTAAATAAGCACAAGCACTTTAGTACTTAGCTTTTGGTCTCAAAACTAGAGTTACGTACGGTAACCATAGCAGTTTCAATTTCATATACATAAACACAATCTTGATGGATTTTGATTCAGTGAAACTCGAAATAAAGAATAAACTGAAGGAAATGCTTTCTGCCAATTAGGCATAGCCAGCTACCATTCCCACTTACATTAGAAACCAAAGGTGATAAAATGAAATCATTTACCGCTCAATAAGAGTTTATGGCATGCATGCATTTGCAGATCCTCTTTGCAATCCCTTCTACGAAATTGAGCTTTGTCTCTTTCAAGGAATTAAATTTAAATGATTCAAAAATAAATCAATTCATTTATACCTTGATGGATATCAATGAGGAAAAACAAGTTGAAGCGCAATTAACCATGCAAAACTCACTGGCTTGAATTGAATGTTGATTCAAAAATTGCTTCTACAGTTTACTGTAGTAGCCATGGATGTGCATTGCTACAATCTTTTTCTCTGACGAAATTCCTTTCCTTTCTTTTCTTTTCTTTTCTTTTCTTTTTTGTCATCTTTCTAACAAGTTGAAAATGTGCTACAACTGAACATGGATTGCATAAAAGAAATCACTTGCTAAGATCTGAGTGTGTGCGCTTTTTTGGGTCAACAAGAACTTGCTCTTCTCACCTTAGTTTTGTCAGTAATATTTTTGGTCCGTTTTGCCTTTTGTGTTGAGTAGGATAAGGTTCAAAAAAGCCCAACTCGGTGTATTAACGTACCAATTTTGGATGGGCTTACTAATGCAGCACAAGAGCTCGAAGTGGATCATTATAAACGATTATATATTTTGATTAAAGAAACCGTTACATATTCTGGACCCAAAATAAAATGATTACAAGTTAAAAACGTGAAATCAAGTTTTAATAACATAAAAGAAATAAAGTAGGAGTAATAAAATTTTAAATAATCGTACTTTGACGACAAAAAAACAAACAAAACAAAACAAAGAGCGATCGTATATGGCTCCACAATATTATAGAATAGCAATGTTTGCACTTTATTTCTTTTAATATTTTAAATATATTTTCATTATTAAATTTTCTTAAATAAAATATAAAATTAAAGTATCACGTGCATATCATAAAAATCACAGATAATTTATTCAATACTAAAATCACATTAAAAGATACTAAAACAAATATATGTTGTTAAAACTTGTATTATGGAACTAGTACATGGTGTAAAAATACTGTAAATTTTTTTATGGAAATTTTTAATCAAAAATAAAATTTTAGTTTATTACAATTTTATTCTTTAAATTTATAAATTAAAATTATTTTATTTGATGATGATGATAATAATAATAATAATAATTTAACAAGTAGCAAAGCAGCATAGTTTTACTGCAACTTAAAATTTTAAATTATTGTGTCTCATATGCTTTCTTTCTAACATATATTTAGCAAAATTACCACAAAATGACTGAAGTAAACAATTAATTTAGAATAATAAATTATATATTATTTTTATAGTAACAAGATTTATTTGGATAACGATTTACTTATTGAAAATAAGTTTTGCTACAAATGGGGAAATAAAAAGGCTAGGTAAAATAAACAACAAATGAAAGCAAAAGTGCTAAGGCCAAAAGAAAAAACATTTTTTATGGTGTATATTACCTAACTGGGAATAGAGAAATAGAAAATAAGTGAAAATAATAATAATAACAATAATAATAATAATAATAATAAATATAATAGATGATATAATGATAAAGAAATAAAAAGATATATATATATATATATATATATATATATATAAAAGAATTAGAATATCAAAAAGAAAACAAGATTGCAATTCAATCCTAGAAGAGAAGAGTTGAAAACCATCAAGAGAAT